AGAGACAAGTGGGTCAGTGCGGGGTAAACGCGTTGGGGCAGGACGGAGACTGGAATAAAGTTACATCCCGAGAGGAGAATTTTTTTTTATGTTATCAGATTCTTCTCTTTTAACTGATGAACATGTCACCATACTTCCGAGAGAGAGAGAGAGAAAAAAAACATCGCCCACAGTGACGCGGTATTTACGTTAACTCTTCTTCATTGTCTGGCAATATGCTCCCCACACATACAAAATCAATCGCTTTGAATTAACATGGCACAGTCGATCAGTGAGTCGGGTCTGTTATGAGCACACCTGTCAATACCAGACACATTCAACTTCAGTATTTTCCGCACCAGTGGCAAATGTGATGTGTAAAAATAGTGGATGCACTGTTGATGCAACAGTTTTCGAGACATCAAGGGGCCATAATCCATAGCCAAGCGAACATAATAGTGGATACCAAGAAGAGGCAGCAAACCGTTGTTTGATCAACTTCCGGCTTTTAGCAAGCTGCTTCTGCTGAACAAACATATCCAGCTTTCACAGGCTTCGTACAATTGTTCAGTCAGCCCTATTTTATAAACATGCACTTAAATTATCCCTTTTATGGGAATGCATATATCATTGCCTGTTTACCCACTTGCCAGATTTCCACGAGTTAAGTTTAATGCATGCCGTAAATCCATGTTCACACCGCACCAATTTAGCTATAACTTACAGACTTTCTTACATGCCGCATGGGAAAGCTCGTTAAATGTTATCACATTTTTAATAGGACTCGATTTTCAGTTATCCCCCCCCATCACTCTGAAAACAGCAATGCGCCACTGTGATATCAAGTAATTTTTATTTCCCAAGTTTTTAGCAAGGTTAAGAAAACTTTCCAGCCACCAAATGACTCCCCGTGATGTTTATAAGACTTGCCAGTACACCAGAGCGACACTGCTCCATCCTGCTGTCTATCAGGCTGTTTTTAAAGAAAACGTTTATGTCTTTGAAACCCACATTTTTAACTTCCGGATGGAGAATCATGAAACCTACAAAACAAGAGCCTTTACAATGACAAACAGTTCATACTTAGTATTATAATAGAAGCCATTCCAATAGCAGCCTACAATTTATTGCCTTCGTATGTATGTATGTATGTTTAACTTATTTCGAAACGTACACAGCCAACCGTGCTTCTTGGATGTAAGGGTAATGTATAAAATAAATATTTTATATATTAATATAATTTCATAAAAAAGAGTATTATGTGCATCATCATTGATTATGAATTTACGTACAATTTACAGGCATTCTTGTTTATGAATATGATTACATTTTAGGCCCATTGTCAATCCACGTATGGATTAAGGCATCCCCACACTATCAGTAACTGTTGAGGGGTTTTGACCATACTGATCAGTGTGGGTTGGTAAAGGTGAGGAGGGGGGGGGGGGTAGGGGACAGAACTGATTCTGATATTACACAACAATTATGTTTGCCATGGTGAGGAATCACATTCGGGTTACTGGAATCATAATCCAGTGAGTGTACATGCTTTGTTACAACCATTTCCCCACCACTCCACACATTTATTTAATCGAAAAAATCTAAAAGTCGAAGTGTTTTCCTCTTCATCTCCTGCTTACAACCCGCAGGCAATGGTGGAAATTCTGCATTCCTATAGCATAAGACAACCACCAAATTGCTTGCTTGCTCTAACCACTGCACCACCCAGCAGGAATATACACAGCGCACGTGATTTTAATTCAACGTGATACATGCTGTGAATGCACGCTACCCAGAAGGCTTGATTGAAGATTGTTATTGTTATTTCATACCAACTGATCACATTGCAGGGATATGAAAGTGAACGAGCAATAAAATGTACAAATGTTTCATTGCTATTTTATAGTCGTCCAAAAAAATAAATGCTTCCATTGCACGCGGTGTAGAGAATGCACTATCTCGAATACTTTCTACGGCAACAATATAAAGAGTGTGAAAAGTGTTTTCACTTTCAAACCACTTTCATCATAAACATCTTTATCGCCCGCAGACAACTGTGTTATTCTAGGTATCATCATCCCCAGGTTGTTAAACGTTCCAAAAATGTTCCACTGTTGTGCCGAGGGAATATCCTAACGCACAAAAAAAACCACACACACTTGGGGAAGAGAAAAAAAAAGAGAGCGCCCCCCTCCGCGTGAGCTCGCGCAAAGCCGGTGTGGCGCCTCCACGCGTCCCGAAAACAGCCACGCGATTTTTGGCACGCGGAGCTTCCGGCGCGCGCAGGGAGGCCCCCTCCGCTCACTCTCCGCACAGAGGGAGCTCAGCCCAACCTCGGGAGAGGTGGGGGGGGGGGCTCCAAAAGGGGGATCCCGTTTTCACTCCTGCTTTTCACACACTGGTGGATTTAGTCGACACCGTGACCAGACAGGGATGTAGTCGGGGTGGGGAAAGGGGGGCGGCCTTCATCCAGCAGTGGATTGATAAAAGGGTGTCAAGCTAGTTAGCGAAGATAGAAGAAGAGTAATCTTTGGGTCTTTCGGTAAAGTCACGTAGAAGAAAAGTATTAACAAAAAACTACGACGTTTCGATCGCAACACAAGCAATCGTCATCAGGAGGGAAAAAAAATGATGACGATTGCGATCGAAACGTCATAGTTTTTGGTTAATTTTTTTGTTCTACGTGGCTTTACCGAAAGAACCAAGGAATATGAATTCCTGCAGTCACGAAAGCTTTAAGTCAGGAGAAGAGTAATTAAGACAATCATGTGTTTGTGTGTGTGTTTTGGAGGTGGAGCAGAGACGCAAGGGGGAGTGCGGTAGGGTAGCGGTTAGCGCGCTGCGCTACGAACTCGGCAACCCGTGTTCGATTCCCGCTCACGGCCAACACCGGTGACGATTATCTGAACCGGTCCTGGGCCTCACCGAGGTCGACTCACCCTCAAATAAGTACCTGGTGTGATGTTTAAACATTACCACTGGGGAGACAAAGGTGGCCGGGCGTGGTGTTGGCCACCCACCCTCTTGTGTGCCGTGCTCGTGAACAGCCCTTGCCCCAACAGTCCCGTTACAGGCTATACGGGGGATCTTTGTTTGCAGAGATGCAGTGTTTGGGACACTGCTATAAACCTGGTGATAGGAGTTTGATTCCAGGCCATGGCTAATATCTGTGGTACATGATATCTGAGCCGTCCTGCAAAACCACCCTCTATCGACCTACACTGACCCGCGAAGAGAAGTATGGCCTATTTTAACATCGGACATCGTGTGATAAGGCTTTCTCTCCAGCAGAGGATTGACGACCTGAAGAAAATGTGTGTTGTGTTAAATGTGAATCATTGTAAAGTGCTATGCTTCAATTACAATTCTCATTGTACCTATCGACATTATACTCATAATTTAACTGTGTTAATAATAGGGCTCAAAAAAGAATTGGGGAAACCCATTCTAACGCTTTAAGAAATATGTGCGTTACGGTAAACACTTTACTAATCGGTGCCAAAAAGGTTATTTTTGTTTTAAACAGCTCAGGTGTATATAAAGCTGCTACTCACAACTGTCAAGGAATACGGCAGCCTGTGGTTTAATGACTGAATTAAGCAATACTCTGAGACATTAGGTCATTACCGGTTGTAGAAATAAGCCCTAGAATGTTTTCCATAGCAAAGCTCAGTCAAGACCTGAGTCACCAAAATTGATCAAGGCACGTTTTAAACCATCGTATTCAATGAGCCTGATTAGAATCACATGCATCCACCCAAGTGTTGTGAAACACGGGCGAAAGCATCCGAGCCTCTTGTGAAAAGGGCTGCAGAGTTTACCGAGAATGATGTCCCTGACATATGGATGCCTGGCTGTCACCACGTCTTATACTTGGAGGATAGTGACAATGAACATTTGTATGCCTTTTGTTCAATTCTGCCGGCCCACACACATTCCTATCCAAGTTAAAAGTATCTTCAAAGCTAAGCTACTGGAAGATTAATGATTCTACACATAATGCATTCTAATATGTCCAATAGTTAACAATTAAATGTCCCACAGTTGATTCAAAGAATTCTTACAGACATTCGAAAAAAAAGTGTACACCTCACCCTTCCTTTATTTTGTTTAACTCAATGAGAAATGTGTCAAGAATTAATTTAGAGAACATATTAATACCCACAATTAGATGCAGTGGATTGGTTCAGTGGTGGATTGATCAAGGCTGATAAAATACTGTAGCAATAATAATACATAGAACACATATTTCATCATTTTATTATTCCAATTGTGTTGTCTCTAATATATCATGAAATTATGATATTCGCAGCTCGCAGAACACCACCCCGTGTCAGAGAACAGCCCTGGAAAATGGCACCACAGTACTGCTGAAGACACGTCAAAAGATCCCTTTAACCACACGAGGGGCACAGCTTTAATATCCTGGGAAAGACAGCTCATCGTATGTCAAACAAACGAACATTTTGAAGTCTCAATAGTGGAATAAATCAAATTAAGGGGAAAAGTTTCATTGATAGGTTATTTTTTTGTGCAGACGTTGGTGAATGGATAGAGGTCACCAACTCCATACGTTGAGAACCTGGTTTAATCCCAAGCAGAAATCTGTAGAGCGCTGCATTCGTGCTCTGAACCCCGTGCCACCCTGGCCACAACGCCCCCATCTCAGCACAAGTCGCTGTTAATCATTCTGTGCTTTAACACGAAAAATCGAATTTACTGTCTTTGTATACACGTTTGTGTTTCTATCTAGTTCAGATAGAAATATAAGCATACACAATTCGGTACACAGGTATAAATGGGTGACAACAACCATACACACATTTGGTATATAGACATTAGGTATCCATAATACAGGTTTGTTGATATTGGTTGTGAAAGCGATGTGTTAAACTACATTTGGTATATTAGTTAGCTATCCAAAAAAGCATGCTCACTTAAACCGAGAGATGCACACCTACATTATGAACATATGCTTACGATGAAACTGTAAGGGTACGCGCGATAGTGATGAGCCTTACCAAGTTGCCTGAACAGCAAGATGACACTGGATGCGGTGACAGGAATCTCATTGTTCAGGGCTGGTTGAATCACCTGCCTGTCCCCAGCACCGAGCGAAAACACCTTCTGTTAACAGAGCAAAAAATGAAGACGTTCGTTATTTTGAACTTTTAACCTCCACTGATTTCCCAAATATGTTTTGGACTAACGAAGGAAGGAGAAAAAAAAACACAGGAATTAGAACATTTGTGTTTAGGCCAAATGTGAGTAGTAAATGTACTCATGTCCTACTCATGATAAATATTTCCTAAACAAAGTACAACTGAGAACATTTTTTCTCAATAGTGAATGCCAAGAACATTTGTTTAATATTGCGAGCATTCATCAATAGTTAGTAGCCATTGCTTGCTAATAAATCAAATAGCACAATTATTTCTCTAATTTCAAATGTTTACTGCTGCCACAAAAGCAACATTATGCATTTGAAAATACTGTTAGATAAGTCAGTCCCCATGTCAAAAGTGAGCCTTTGGTGGTGCTTATCTCCTGTTTACAGCACTGACCCAGTGGATACAATTCCATATTCCTTTGGCAGGGTGAGTACATCCACAGGACAAACACTCTTTATAGAGGCAGACTGAAAACCAATGTTGTAGCTAATGAAACGACCGCTGTTTTTTTCCTGATTCACCATACTTTAAAGTCAATATCCATATCATTATGTCATTAAAAGTACGTGTGAAAATATATGGTAATATTCATACCCCATATTCCACATTATCTCCTTCTGGCTGCTCGGAAACAATGAGAGAGAAAAAGAAAGAATTAGTAAAAGAAAAAGTTTACAAGCAATAGGAGCTGTTAAAAATTCGAATAAAAAAGGACTATCAAATAAATAAAAAGCAGTTGAATACTTCATCCACTAGGAAAAGTGGTGGGGGGGCAGGGGGTAAGTATTGCACACATAAAACTGAATAAACCTCGCATATCACCTGCAGATGGTGACGACGATAATGATAATTATGGTAGTGATGGCCGCGATGGTGAGGAGCAAGACTTAAACACGTACACATTCAATATATTTTATTCTGTGGAACCAATTCTAAATGTTCCAATGCCAATATGTCTTGGAATAACCGCCCCCGTTATCGAAGCCTATTTAATTTTTCTATTCGACACAGTGCAAAGAAATGAAAAAAACCAAACACGTCCTTTGGAAGAAAAAAATCCCAAAATATGATGCCGAAGAGAATGGAAAGTTTACCTCAATTCCTGTCTGCTAAGTGTCAAAAGCAAATATAATGGCCAAATACAGGCAACCGCCACACCAGGCTCCAAAAACAGCTTTGTTTATGGACTGCTCGTCGAAAAACATTAACACTCTCATGATGACTTATACGGCTAATTCAACACTTGGGAAGAAACGCACACTTGGGTGTGTTCTATTAAGACTTGCGGCACAACTGACACGTGAATCGGCACCGCGATTGTACTCGTGTCTTTCCAAATCAATTGCATGTTGAGCACAAGCTTTTCGGGCACGATTGATTAAAATTACTCAATCGTGCCTGAAAAGCTAACCTTTTGCTTTATTAATGTCCTTTAAAACAAGAATGGCCACAGAGGAGCAGAAAGAGTACATCTGGCAGTAACCGTGTATGGCTTAATCGCAAGTGGTATTTATCCAGCACTAAAAAGCTGGAATCAGCCACTGGTCTCCGCTAATCAAATAAGACAGACTCGCACAAAACAAACAGAAGCAGACGTGCACTCGGGCAAATGGTTGGGCAAATGGTTCTGTCGGCAGACTTAAGCATTACCTAGTCTCTTGGTAATATTGACCTGGCACAAATAAAATAAGTTATTTTTCGTTACTCTCAACAACAGTGTTGGCATTGACAGTCACTGTATGTGCCCACTCTCTCAATCAACTGATCACCCACCGCAAAGTGCTGTTCCAGTTGGCCAGTTGGCAATGCTCTAATCCACCACTAACACGACACCCGTACATATTTAGGATCCTTTACCTTATTTAAAATGTTAATGAAAAAAAATCTATAAACGTTGAATTGTTTAAATAAATGTATATATTAATTTAAAATCCACAAACAAGCAATGTACCTGAGTAAATTAGATGCTCTATGAAGAAACGACAGGGACTCCAGTTTGCCACAAATCACACGATGATGCAACAGCAGGTGAAGGTTACATTTAGGTGACCAATTGGAAGTAGCTGTGTGAATTTACATGACTGGTGAACATTATAAAATACATGAAATGCTCACCTCTTCATATGAAATATGTGAATAAATATTAAAGTAAAAAAATGTTTATTCTTTCTTTTAACAATTTGTATCACCAAAGAGGGGGGGAAGCATGTCACAGTTGGTGCTGTAAGGTGCAAAAGAAGTCCAACATACATAAGTATTTTAAACCCGTCGACCTGACCTTGATTCCCAGCCATGCCTATAACCCGATATTCTTCACTAATTTTGAGAGGCGGGGGGGGGGGGCACTTTCGCCAATAAGACATCATCAGTGTGAGGGCTGCCACACCTCCTGCAACGGGTGTCAGGGGCCGCATTAAAGGCCACCAGGGGCCGCTAGTGGCGCGCGGGCCTTGCAATGAAGAACACTGCTATAATCAGTTTAATCAGTAGCGAGTGAAAACAGGCCTCTTCAACATCGTCACAAATTCAAACTGACCAGCAGCGGTTTAACAAAGGGTTAACACGTGTATTTATGACCATTAATTATGAATAAATGTGGCTACGGGATATGTTAATTCTCGGTAAGAGGATGGGGTTTTTTTTTTATCCACCAAAATGTTAAGTTCCCAAGAAACAAATACAATGCAGCCACCACCTGTTGCCAGCTCATCCCCACAACATGTACACAAGCGTTCTGAAAAACAACGGAAGTGTAACGTGCGAAGTTTAAGCACGTGAGCGTGTGCATGTTGCACAAATAGTTTCCCAAACAATACAATGCTCACAGGACACCGAGGGACTACACAGGAAAACAGTTTTTTCCAAAAATTCACGTCAAACTTGACATTTTTACAAAAAACAAAAAAAAAGCACTATCTCATTCCTGTAAATAAAGCCATCGAATTGTTCAAATATTGAGACTTTATTGTGCAATTATTAGCACTTTAATTTTGTTGCCATTTTTTCACGACAAAGAGCTGTTAAATATACACGTATTCCTACCACTGGGTTCCAATCAAACAGATGTTATAAACACTATTTTAACTGTGTTGTTTAACACTGGAAAATTGTGTGGGCGTACATATGGTCTGATTAAACAGAACCCACTAATGTCCATATATTTACAACAGAGCTAATGGAGGCAATCATCACGAAAAAAACTCAAACATTTTTTCATTAACTTGTTTCAATGCACACATGCTTTTAAATTGTAAATCATTTATGGCACTTTTTTGCGGCATTAAAGTTGCGTCAATATATATTTAATTATCAAAAATCCGTAATCCTTCTACCGATACTGCAATTGCGTTTAACAGCTCAAGGTAATCTTATTTTTCCTAAGGAGAACTTCAAAAGTGCAAAGAGGCATTTGGGTATTGTTTTGTTTAGAAACTCCCAGTTGGAAGCCTAACGTTTCCAAGGACTCGCTGCGCCAGCCAAACAGCGTGCAATTGGCTGCACAAGGCCAGCGAGGATTAGGCACAGCTCGGGACAAAAGCAAATGCCCCGTACTCCACTTGCACTGAACTCCTACACTGATATATTGTGTTTTGCTAACACACCAAAAGAAAAAAAATGGCAGGAAATGGTCATCATACCAGGCCCTGGTTCAAACTAACAAACGATCAAAGATTATTTTGAACTTTTTTGTTTGGGGCTTTTTTATAGAATACAAACTCGATAATGATTGATTAAAAAAACATGACATTGTCAAGAATTTGTTACATCAAGACAAATATGTAAACAATAAAAAATGCAACATAAACAAGAGCAGTCGAAATTAATTTGTAAATGCAGTTAGTTAGCAACAACTTCGTTTTTTTCTGGTTTGTTGTGTAGATTCAACATCGTATTTGTTCTGCAATCACTTCCTTTCCTAGTCATTATCTCAAATACACCTTGTTCTGACAACACGAGATGTACAGCATGGGAGGAGTGATATAACTAATAAATGATGATGACTATAACAGATTTACAGAGCAAAAACTGATGCATGTGCACAAAAATATATATAGAAACCACAAAAACAGACCATGCAAGAATAAAATTGTTTACTCTGAGGAATGATAAACGTAATGCAGCAACAGGCTTGCATAAACTCCCGCAAAGAAAAATGGAAAGGTTGACAAGGAGCAATGGCTGTTAAATCCCACAAACGAGTATTTTATTCATTTTAAGCTTTCGTGACTGCAGGAATCCATACTCTTTGGTTCTTTCGGTAAAGTCACGTAGGTATAAAAGAAAGAACCAAAGAATATGGGTATTTTATCACGGGTAAGTCTGAACATTTTTTTACCATGCACTCTTATGAGTCCAGTCCACCACAAATCGTATATGCAGGTAATAACACGGGACTTGACAGACGAGCCACAGTGAGGCACAGATATTCACATCCACGTAATAAGTGAGGACGTGCATACGGCTTTCTAACAAATGTACGTTTATGCAACGGTTCGTGAAACTAGTTTGTCAGACAGAGCCCGCCGTATACTGGTTGGTTGGTGGGTGCGTGTGTTGCTGGTTACCTAATGTGGCACGTAAAGGTGGGTGCGACAAAAAAGCACGAATGAGTCATGGTCACATGGCAGCTTCTCACGGCAGGTGTATTGTTAGGTGGCTTGGGGGCATGGCTGTCGTGATTTACAGACGCATTGCTCGCCTGGGTGGGAGACCGCATCACGGGGTGGGGTCTCCTAAATTACGCATGTGCCAGGAAGGCCGGCTCAGGTACTCGTGCGCACGCGCACGCCAAAAACGTTGGAAATTGAGCGCACAGTTGCATCATGTGAGGCGAAAAATGGGTATGAGAAAACAACAACAACAAAAAACTGTGGACAATAACTATAATTAACCGTGGCCATAGCAACGCTGCTAAGCAAATAACAAAAAATAGGCAATCACAACAAGCGTGTATAAATACGGCTACAACGTATGAAACATACTACGGACAAGTGGGGTCGGTTTAAGTCGGTATTAAATCTTGGCAACAAAACACGTGCTTTATAGCGCCATTTACCATTTATAGACAGTCTGAAGTGAACAATGGTTACCTGAGCACCTCCAGACGTAGTTATCATGCACGTGAGCAGGTTTCCCACCACGTTCTCCAAGGTAACTTTGAGGTCATCCACGTGAATCGCATAAATCAAACCTAGACTTTGCTGGACTCGCACACACATCCAGGTAACATGAGTAACATCACGAGTTGCACTCAAAGTGCACACATACATACATGTATTCATTATACACCCAAAATAAGAAATATAATCACTTTTCTCAAGTCAAACTGTTGCAAATTTGGTTAAACTACTTGAAACACTTTTTTATATATCTAAACAAAATTAACAACGAAAGCATATGGAACAATAACAAGTTTAGCTGCTAAATACGTGGTACTCAATGTTTTGACAATGTTCTTAGGGACAGCCTCCTATCCAGACTAGAAAAGGAATTCAGAAAATACTTTTGTTTAAAAAAATCCAATGCAATCTCATTAAACTACAGCAATGGTAGAAATTGGTTTCATTGCTTGTGTAGTGACTTTGTTGTAATCCAAAAAAACCGTCACAATCATTGGTTATAAACTATTAATGGAGTAATTTTCAATTGCATATCACATTGCGTTACCAATGATCTTGGGAATTCTAGTCATAGCATAGAATTCCTACAGCCTTGCTAATATGAATATAATCTAATTACAGTAGAAACCCCTCTAAACGAGCACCCCTGTTAATGACTAATCGCTTAACGACGGGCCTCCCTAGAGCCCAATGTGTAGTGTATAGTGTAGTGTATAGTCGCGTAGTGTCTCCATAGAGCCCAATTTGTTCGCTTAACGGCCATTGTTTCTTTTAATATTATGTGTTTCAAATGTTGTTAGTATCTTTGTTTTAACATCCATTGTTTAAATATTATAAAGTACGTTGTTTGGGTGAAAAAGGGTCACTTTCGATGCTATCGGAATGAATTAAACCTTCAACATGTATTTCCTATACTCGCTTAACGATCACATCAACGACCGGTTTCATGGAACCAATTACCGTCGTTAATAGGGGTTGTACTGCATCTATATGCTGCTGGACCCCTTTGTGAACTCAACTCTGTTTATGGGAGATGAGGCTCGAGCCCTACATTGACAACAAACGTTTGGGCATCCTAAAGCCATCTCTCCCTCTGAGCTAGCTTGACTTCACTATTTAACCATGACCTATCCTTGCCCTCCAGGGAAGAACACACTAACCCTGCACTGTTCTCATTATTTCCATGCTGCTGGTGGTTGAATAGTCAATTCCTGGAGAGTTGGGAGATGGAATAGCTCGTTAGTCAGGTTGAGTTAGCTCAAGGTACATGGTACAATGCAACAAAAAAGCATGCTAAAGAAGCCAAATAACACCCCTGAAAATCAGCTCTACCCAATAGGCCTCAGGAATGTAAAGTCTATAATCATATGTAAAAAAATCTACAATTGAGGTTCGGCATTAAAATGTTTGACATTTACCTATGAAAGACATTTATGAGCACCATAACCTACACCATTATAGCACTATTATTATAAAATCCAACAAGCACGAGGCATTTTACCATGACCTAACGGTGACATCTTTGTTAAGCCAGTTACACTTTAATCACTTTCATTGAGCACAGAAACTACTGTAACACATTCACCCTTTTTTCTGCAATCAGCACTATTTTACATTATCTGGCGGTAAGCATGCAGCAAAGCCGATTACTAACTGGCAGTGTAATACTCTTAAACGCAGTTTGCCCAGAAATCACAGTGGCACGGTAAGTGCAAGGAGAGATTGTTCTTTTGTCCTCCGGCTGGCAGCACATCAACCAATAACAATTTAAAAGTTTCTTTATCAGAAACGTTTACAAAAACGTGACAATTATTTGTACATTAAAAAAGTTATTATAAAATACATTAATAGCGAAATCAATTTTAGAAGTGGCTTTAAAGGTCATTATATGGAATGTCATTTCTCTTAGCTTTAACTTAAAGTCATAAGTGAAAGCATATGGCATTAGGTAAAGGAATGGAATTTTGTAAAAAAAAAAAGTCTTTAGAATATCCCACGTAATTGTCTTTACATTTTACTTTTGCATGTGATCATATTTAAAAGCAAACACACGGCCAGCATACCCACTGCTGAATATTCATTTCTCAGAAGAGAATATTATAGATTTTCACCAAACTTAGCCTTCTGAAGGGGGCAAGGGGGAGCTCAACACACAAAATCACACAATCACACTGTGCAGAACTCACTTAATACATACTTTACACCGAGACAAAATTACTTAGCAAACAACGGTAATTATTCCACTTACCCGGTAGATCTCTGTGTAATCGAGTCGGGAGACAAGGACCAGGCTTTTTGGCGCAAACCTCTGCATGTGATGAGACTCATCCTCTCCTTCCCCATCGCTCTGACTCTCTTTCTGCTGAAAACAAAAGATAAACGGGTTTTTTTGCATGTTTTGAACCGACCAAGATAACGCTACTTAACAGGATCGAAACACTGAAAAAGAAACACGTTTCCTAATTCTAAATGTAACATTTTTATTTACACTTTGAATAAACATTAAAATCCACCAGCAGTCAGTCACATGACCCTTTTGCTTGGCACCTCAGTCCTCTTCATCTGTTTTTCATTCAAAAATGGGAAACGGGCTCTTGATATCAGAGTTTGCTTTTTTTTATTCCCACCCCCTCCATTTCCCTAATCTAAACACCATGTCCCTTCATTCACTTAATGGGAAGTACAAACATAGCAACATACCAATGACAAACACATAGGGAGTTGACGAAAATAAAATGGAATGTGAAACTACGTACCACAGGTGGTCTTCATTATTGGCCCAATCATCATCTTTAACCCATTTAATCATCAAGCCGTGTACAGGGAATTAAGGATACAGCCGATAACTACTGCGTGTTTGTGTGCATGAAATTCCTCCATGAAAATCTGCTTTAAGTTATATAGGGAGCTTGCAGCAAATTACACCTCCTGTTTTCAACAGTTTTTGCCGACTCCATCCATCCGTACGTATTTGCTTGTTTTCTTCGCTGTCTCTCCCTCCAACACTTCGGAACCATTGGTTAGCCTTGAAAGTCTTATTCCATCCATTGTTAACACATGTTCAGTGGGCATTTGTTGAGTGCCTCTTCTGAAATGGCTTTGCACTCCTCCTTCACTTTCTAATGTTTCTGATGCTCATCCCTGCCCTTCCATCGCTCCCGTGTTTGTTTTGCTTCACGTTAACCCTTTAATACCCCTGCGGCAGCAGGAAGCACCCGTGATCTCATCCGTTCTCCATGCCCTTCCGCTCCGCAGGCACAGCCATCCAAGCAGCGCGTGTCCATCCATAAACAAGCACGATTCAACAATAGATCGATGAGCCTTCAAACATTCCTCTTACACCCAGAAGGCAACTCCAACCAAAAACCATAAGATGCAATTTCACTGTCAATTAAATGTGTCTCTTGCTCTTCCAGAAAATGGAATTCAGGCAGATAAAAGTTGTTTGTGGATTAAAGGTTAAAAATGGAGCAATAGAAAAGCAAAAGAAGACAAAATACTGCACAAAATATACAACTGAATGTAGAAATGTAGGCCAGAAATAGGTGCCGCGGTGGCGGGATATTAAGTATATTGCCTGCCATACAGAAGGTTGTGGGTTCGATCCTGACCCTGATGCCTATATATATTTGGAGTTTGCATCTTCTCCCCACGGTCACATAGATTTTTCTCCGGGTCTTCCGGTTTTTCCCTCCGCATTTAGAAACATGCGTTTAGATTATTTCGCTGCTATACATTTTCACACGTTGATACTCCACGTCGGTTGAGCTATAAAGCTCAGTGTGCCTTACCTGGTAAATAAAAAGTTTAGTTTATAGTTTAGTTAACAGCCAAGACCTCTCTGATTACTCGGCTGTGCGATGTAGGTCAAGGAAAAGAAATTTACTTGAGGAATTTAGTGGCGACCCTGCAGATCTGGAAGGTGTAAAAACGTTACATGAGGGATGGTGATGATGTTATGTAAGGGCAATGCATTGACAAAAGGCTCATTGTACAAATTAGTAAGAGCATAAAATAGCAGCTGAATGCAAGAAATTCCGTTCTACTAATACGGTCACCATAAGACACAATTTCACCGAATGGATGGTTTTCTTGTATGGCCCAACATTCTTACTGATACACTAGAATCATGCTCAAATTCAAACACAGTATTTCAGTAGTTAGGCACAAGGTGGCCTGTCGCAAGTCAACAACAAAGGCCCCCATCTAGCTCATGTGCAAGCATTCCAGTTATTAAATTTGCCTTTACAAAACAAACACATAAATGACAGAGTTATCGCGCTGCATTATTTATTAGTTCATTACAGCGATGACGAACCTATGACCCGTGACAATTTCATACGGACTATGGCCACATGAAGCACCTATCACTTTTTATCAGCCTGCAAAAAATAGTTTTCGATCAATAGCAACGTCTTAATCGCACTAATTTGGTACAAGAGTGAACACGATAAAATGGTGTTTCTAATTTGAGCAAGTTCGGTCACTTCTGTCAATGCAAGGGTCTCTTTATACGTGTCAACACGCAAATTATTTCCCCATCCAGAGTTGATTACTGGCATTTGAAGCCAAAGGCCATTTATAGGGCCAAAGGAAAACGTGGTTTGCTAATTAGTGATTTCGCAAGGCTTTACTTCAATTGCCTAGTAATCGCTCATTGTGAATGCAATCGGATAGGGTTAGGTCAAGAGCAATGAGCTGCTTTACAGATTTCAGCAGTAAAAAGAGCCTCCAAATCACACGGACAGATGAACTCATCTACTCAAGGAAACAGTGGGTAAAGGGGAGCTCAATTTACATACAACACAGAATAAAGGACTTAAGCAACCACTAACTGGTACTACCAGTTTATTGCCAGCCAAGGAGGTACCTGTGCCAAGTGGCAACTTGTTTACTAAGAAATGGTACCTAGGTGGTTTCACAGAACACAGACTTACACGGGTTTCTCCTTTCTCCCAAAAAAAAATACCAAAAACGGTGGCTTTCATGCAGTACAAGCTATTAGGCCTTTGATCAAATCAACTGGAATGCGCCCTATTTCGTCAGATTTCGGAAGCCAAGCATGGTTGGGCCTGAACAGTGTTTGGTTGGATGACCACCATGCACAAAAACAGGTGTTGCAGGCTTCTGCAGGGACATGTTGTGAGCAGAAGGCAGTGCAGTAAAATCCATTGTTTTGCTGTCCTGTGCCCCAACGTCTATGCCACTCGCCTTCACCACCCTGCAATGACTAGGGTGGTGAAGTATGGTCAAGTAATCCCCACAACCTGTACAGCTCGAAGTGAGTACTCATCCCGCTGTGGATTGACAGAGAGGGGCTGTACGTGTACATCTACAAGCCACTGGCAAGTAGGTCCATTGTATAATTAATGTAAAACATCTCCAAGACTTGTCCATTATAATAAATTAAATTAAATAATAGCATACGACGTGACTTAACCGAAAGAACCAAATAATAATTCCTGCAGTCACGAAAGTTCTAAAATTAAGATTGTCCATTATACTTGGATTCTCATGCTCCCAATTTCATCTTGAAGTCAATAGTTACCAATCAAGAGATGTGTACAATATATATTCCCTATTTATATACAGACGATTATAAATGAAAAAAACCGTATAATATTGGGGGACAGGGGCTTGAATGTGAGAAGTATTCTTTTCATGCGTAAAAGCAAAAACCAATGGCTGGCCACATTAAACAGTTTCTGCCATCAATGTGCATTATTAGACAGCAAATATTTCCTTAAAAAATACAAATATATTGTACTTTATAAATGTTTTAACCACATTTAGAAGTATTTTTTTACAACAACTTTGTTGTCTTCTTGGTTCTTTCGATAAAGTCACGTACAAGGGAAGTAATAAAATAATAAAAATAAAACATAATAAATAATTCTCACGACGTTTCGGCCACAACGCAAGCAGCCGTCCTCAGGTGAAGACCGAAAGAACCAAGAAGATGAATCCCTGCAGTCACGAAAGCTTTAAATCGAAATTTAACTTTGTTGTCGATCTCACGTATCCAAATTTTGCAAAGTCATACCACAGCATCATCATCTGTATTGTTCACTGCTCTCCGTCCTCCATAATCGTCCTCAGCCATTATAATCAATCCACCGCTATATCAAGGTCTCCCCAAGTCGCCACCATCCCTCATGGTCCTGCGATGCACAAAACGCACCCAGCACCTGCACACGTGCCGTCTCGTAGCTCTTGGGTACTTTCATTCCTTTGGCTCCCACTCAGTGAACATACTTGCATCTATTTTACATTTATTTTAAGTGATCTGCTTTCCTTTCATATACTTTGCAATCCGATAATTTTTCGTACTGTTTGTTGTTGTAAATTTCTGACCAGTTCCTACTGGACATCTGTGAAAAAAAGCTTCATACCTCATACAATTTCTCCAGGATAAAGTTTCTGATTCTGTGAACAAGAGCTTCACAGTTCATCAGATTTCTCGAGGATAAATAAAGATTCTGATTCCGTTATTCTTGCCCATCGGCCATCATTCCTTGCAGACACATGTCATGCCCCACAGTCAAAATTATGTCTTCAAGCGGCGTATGTTCTCTAATGCACGTGTTACTTTCTGCCACTGAGTGTATCTCTCCATGCTCCTTTGCACACTTATGAGCTTTTGGTCCATCCTCTTCTTTAGTATCCATTTTTCTGATCGGTATGTCAAAACATGTAACACTCCGTTTAAAATCTGTCCTCTTCAGATGCATCGGTATATGTTGCTTTTCATTATCGGGTTCAGTTTTCGAAACGCTGTACACAATCCGCTCCAACCCACTCAAATCCGCATTTTTATTCCGTGCAGTCAAAAAAATACAAAGTTGCCCGATTTCTCTTGGAAATAAGGTCATGAAAATAACAAAACATTGAATTGTTCAATGTGTTTTTCGTGTAAAAATGTTTCTTACGTAACCAGTGCTTTTGACAGATGATTATTGAAATGTTAAATCCAATATTAATACAAGTTTTTGCAAATACACACAAATTATTGTCACGCATAAGCGCTTAGTAATTAATCAGCCATCTGTGAGAGCTGAGCGTATTATGTTGAAAACAAGCATTGGCAGAAGTTAATGTTGCCCTTGATACCAATTTGTATTTGTAGAAGTTTCAAGCAATCTGTATTTTGTTAAGGTTGTACATTTTATCAGCATTTTGACAAAGGCATAATGATTAATCATGGAGACAAACAGGGCCCCCTCTTTCCTAAGTGTGCTGTTCAAAAAAACAATGAAATATTGTCCGATCCTTCCTGCTTTATACCACAGTTTCTAAAAAAGTATGACACATCACCCTTATTTCCCGAGAAATGTCTTTCCAAGCATGTGAAAATAATTATAATAACTTGCTTGGGATAAGATAACAGCCATTGCATGAATCGTTGCTAAAACAACCAAAAAACGGTGCAGCTGTCAAATTACATAAAATGTCGATTGGAGTGGATGCTGTCAAACCTGCGTCTCATCTTCGGGCTCGTAGAAGGTGAGGCAGGCGCAGAAGTGTCGGTCTGACTCGATGTCCGTGAGCACCGCCACAAAAAACGTGGGCTGCTTCCACTCGTTTGACAGCTTCCACCCGCTCGGCTGGCAGAACTGCGAATGGCCGGGGGTTGGGTTGGGGCCATCGAGAATGAGGATTAGACAATATGCAAAGCACTTTAGTTAATCAAGACACAGCAGCATGATCAATTGTCGTAGTATGTAAATTCAAGTGGTCAGTGCTCGGAGAAACCATGGAGGCCAATCGAATGCATGCAATTTCCAAGCTCTACTTTAGATACCCAGAATATTGTGAAATATACTGTCATTCATTCACCTACAAGATTTATTTCAACAAAACGTAATCCCACGTGGAAGATTGTACTCTAGTAGGAAACCAAAACTGTAGGGCTTCAAGGAAAACTGGTACAGGCATTGCAGATGATACCTTTAACTACAGTGCCTTTAAGTGTACATGTGCTGGTTGGCACAGAAAAGAGCACGCAGTCTCCAGTGGGCAACAAAGTGCCATTCCCAAAGAAGGCAGATGGTTGTGTTTACCCAGCACAGCCTACACCAATGTAAACCTGCTGGCTGGCTCATTTAAAAGCAGTATCCGTTTGTGCTCATTAAGGAACTGCTACAGACAGGTGTTGCTATTAAACAAACAAGATGTTCAACGGCTCCCAAGACAAGCCTTGCATCTGTGATAAACAATCAAAATCTAAGGATTGAACAACCGATGGCATTGACATTTGTATCAATTACTTTCTTATTATGCATGATAAACATTCCCCTTGCAAAACATCACAATGAAGAACCTCCTGAAAACAGTCTTGACACAAAGTCAGGCTTTCCTCGATAAATAAATTACAATTGTCCAGCAGAATTAAGATGAAAACACTCGAAGCAGCAGCTCAAAACCAATGACGAACGAACAATGTTCACCGACTGGAAACTTATTATTTGTTTGCATTACACTCAGTATACAAATTAGACCAATTCATTCAGGTCACAGGTTACTAAAAACATTCGTTTCAATTTAGATCATTTCAGATTTGTACCTCTAAGAACTTGATAAATAACCCCACTTGAATGATTTGTCGAAAGCAATCGTGTGAAGTTATAACTTAATGCCGCAATGAGAACGTTTACCACAACAACATCTGTACCATATAAATGTTAGATCAGTAACGAGAGGTTATTTATAATGAACTGTTTAAAAATATTCCCTAAAAATCAGAGTGCTTTGCACTGTTTTGTCCTACATTTAGAATTCTCTTCCTTATATCATTCATCACCATGATGATTTAAATATTTTGAAGTCCCACTTGAAACAAATCTGCTTGACACTGCTTTTGTTTGAGATAATGTTTTCAACACATAGCAGCTTTTGGTTTTGGCTGGAATGGGAGAATTAGTTTAGTGTACATGCTCTATAATGTATTTTTTATACTTCAAGCACCGGATGACTGGCTATTGTTCCAGGTTGTGCCTGAAGATCACTGAAACTTCGCCAGTCACTTTGGTTTAATTTGACATACACTAAGCACTGTTTAAACAAATGCCATTGACGACAACGGATGGGCATTCAATGACTGCTGCTCGACACAAATGGTCAAAATATATTATGACATGCACGAAGCATGCGGTGGTGGTGTCGCGCGCCACTCCCTTGGCCATTAGTATCTCACCATTATTGCATGAAGCAACACAGCCGGAATCGATGCATCATCGCCAGGTTGACATTAAAGAAGAAAAAGAATGTCACTCAAGGAAAGGGCCACTGCAGTAACACGTCACCTGCACCCCACCAAGCTAAGTGAACCCTTTTGAATACGGAAGCAAGTGCAGATATCCAAACCACAAATACAATTCTATCTTTTCCTGCGGATAATACACTACACTGTGACCTTATTATGCACGGTTGCCTTGGAAGTTTTTTTTGTTTGTGGTTATTACTCCGACATGGGTGAAAAAATATGGAAAATGTCAGCCGTGACGCTTGGGTTCTCCGTGGTCATGGTGAGTTAAGGTGGAATTCATTCATAGGTGTGCCTGCAGAGCGTGACTACACGCCTACACGCTGCAATCACACCTATCACAAAGAATAACGTTCATACAAACTTTTAGGAAAAAAATACAATTTCGAACATTTGAGTACAGCTTTGGCACAAGGGGAGGACATATTGTAAACATAATTTTTGCCTAAAATTTAATTAATAATTGGCACAAACTTTGACAGATTAAAACGCAAGTTTTCGCAGCCACTTGTAATCCAAATGTGGTTTTCCAGGTTGGGATCCGTGTAGGGCTATTCCTCTCAAGATTTTATCATGCACTGCCACGCACATCTTCAGGAGTTTAATAGAGGATGATTTGGTGGAGGGGGGGGGGGCATTGCAATTCACAAAAATTGTGCCTTACATGAGAGAAGAGGCTACCACTAGGACCACCAGCACCTTAATTACCACCCTTGGAGTTGTTGACAGGCTGAGGGGAAGCACCTGAAACAGAAAGTGCTGACCTACGTCTAGCCGAAGGATCTCCTCAGGGAGGGCGCTATTGGAATGTTACGGTAGACATCCTTCAAGTAAATCGGCGCAAACTTATCGCCCGGCCTAACCACCGTCCATGTACACCCCAGCGTCTCAATATTGACATTTCATGGTGCTCACATTTTGAATGCCAAGGTTATAACATTACGCAAAAGCCCCCGAAGGCTTTGAGATCGGGAAGTACTGAGAGGAGAACCCATGGCCCTCTTGCACTGGGGGCACCGTCTCTATGTTCCTAAGTGACAGGCATCTGTTGAACACATCCGATGTGATATGTTCTTCTGGAGGGCTGCCACTACTGTGGCTGAACACTTGTCACCTGCTTCACAAATCCCAGGGTATAACCTCTCCCCGGCACAGCCAGGATGCTTCATCGGTATGCAATTAACCACTTGCCAGTGAAGGCTCAAGGCCTCCCTCCCAGTAAAATTTTACCTATCAACTACTAATTACCAATTTTTTTCTTACCAGGTAAGGCCCTATATAGCTGCTTTTCAGAAGCAAAACGAAGTGGCTTATCATGTGGAAAGTTATAGCAACCAAATACTCTAAACACGTGTTTCTACATTTGGAGGGGGGAAACCAGAAAACCCAGAGAAAAATCCACGTCATCACAGAGAGAACATGCAAACTCCAAATATACAGGCGTCAGGGTAAGGATCAAACCTATGACCTCCTGTATACTAGGCAAAGTAATTAACATCTCGCCACCGTAGCACCCCCTATCAGGGGGCAAATGATGCAGTGTGGCCTCACATAGCACCCCCCCTGGCTCTTCACTCCTTTCTTCAAGAAATCTCAGTGGAATATTCCATCTACGTAATTTATATACGTATTTTATTAAGACCACGGTTATTGACAGCTCGGATGACTACATCAGTTTACACTGGATCAAATGCCTAATCATCTTCAAAATATAGGCATAGTGGCATCTAACATTCATTTGTATTTTCTAGAAACTTGATTTGATAGTGTATGTGGTCTATGGTGGAAAAGCGTGTCTTAAATTCCAGCTAGCTAATTCATACACTTGCTTAAACCTCAGAATTGTCTATAATTCAGTTCTATATGATCTTCATTAATATATAAACCTGCGATAAGAGATCAACAGGTCTAATAATAAATGTAAATAATTTTCATATCCCTTATAGAAAAAAATAAAGAGTGAAGCATCATTGCTAAATTAAGTTATGTCTTGTGTAAACATTTTAATAGGTCGCTTACATTTGTTTTAACAGCTTATTCCGCGTCTTTGATAATGATCACAGTTATTCCATCTGGTCCAGAAATGTTTTCCATTTTCATAAAGCGAGCTGTCGTGGTTCCTTAAAGTTTGACATCTGGAACATCTTCCTCCTCATCTGAGAATATTTTTTGACGAGGTCAGATTGTTTTTTGCTAGAGATCAGCATTAATTTCTTCCACTAGTTTCATCATCGTGTTTAATGGTTCCACCTTGCTCTCTAGGGGCTACCGTATGTGATATACCGATCATCAACGTCCATTTTGCTTTCATTATCCCACTATTCATGTCATCTTCAATCCCCTTTTTGTTGTTCTCCCGATTTATATTATTATTATTTTCCTCATGGTTTTAACAGAGTCCTGTATGTTTTAGCATTTGTTTGGTATTTTTCATCCTTTTCCATATTTATCATTTCCTAGATCATGCTTTTGTGGTTCAGACAGCTTGTTCTGTTTTCCCAATTACTGTGCATCTCATTTATACTGCACTTTAAAATACAATGCTACTTATTTGTTCATGTTACACATTTAATAGTTTTGCTTCTCTAGGAATTTGAATGTTGCTTATAATTAGAAGACATTTTCCTAACTCTTGAATTAGATTGTTTACATTAGCAATCTTGCTTCAGCCACAAATGACAACTTACCTTTAATTGAAATTTGATTATAATAAATTGGCATTGAGTATTAAAATTGTTCAACATAACTCAAGGTCAAGCGCTAGATATTAACACTTGTCAACAAAAACATTTCCGTTTTAGGCGAAAAACAAAGATGCCAACTTGAACAATCTTTGAGTAACCCTGTAGTTTTTGAGCATCTTTAAAAGCATTAACTTTGTCCAACTACCCATCAAAACATTTATTTCATTATTTGCAATGCAATAAACAATGAGCGAATGGGGACTTGTGCATGTGTGCTAAAGCAATAATGGGCACATTCCCAATAACTGGCAAAAAGCATCCCATTTCAGGAAAAGCAATGCATTTAAGTCTGTTTCAGTTCCGAGGAGCCTAAACTATGGGGCTCTACTAAAGGGGCTGGCAGCCTATCATATATCAGAATGCTTTATCACATGCAGTTTCTAAAATGATTCAAGCAAGCTGTAACAGAAATTCGATAATAGCTCTCATTATAGCACGATACGAGCCATTTACAACAAGCACTCAATCAGAAAATGCTCCGAGTCCTTAATTTGCACAATGCCTCAAATAAAGCACCATCATCTTCCACTTAATGACGCCAAAAGATGAAATCTGAAAGTGACCATCGCAACACCTTGCGTTCCTTGCGCTGAGCAATAGATTTTCG